GATGGCTCATGCCTGTAATCCCAGCACTTTGGGAGGCCAAGGTGGGCAGATCGCTTGAGGCCAGGAGTTCGAGACCAGTCTGGCCAACATGGTGAAACCCAGTCTCTACCAGAAATACAAAAATTAGCTGGGCATGATGATGTGCACCTGTAGTCCCTGCTAGTGAGGAGGCTGAGGCATGGAAATCACTTGAACCTGAGAGGTGGAGGTTGTAGTGAGCAGAGATCATGCCACTGCACTCCAACCTGGGCAATAGAGTGAGACTGTCTCAAAAAAATATAACAAAACTAGTCATATAGTGCTTTCTCTACTGAGCAGAAAGACTAATCTTAAGATGATTGCATTATGTTCATTACCAATGACTTTGGAATCTTAGTCCTAAGAAAATAAATAAGACATGAGATATCGCAGAAAGTGTCCAGCTATTTTGGGGATGCAAAAGCATTTATCTTAAATTCAGCCTCCCTGCATTTTTAGTCTTCCATTTGGAGACTGAAGGTCTTTTGCTTCATGGAGGAAGGCTAACAACTGTTCACTGGTGTGACTTAACTCTCTACATTGAAGATGATGAAGTGACAGGGAGAAGCAAAAGGGATAATTTTTTTTTTCAGTTGATAAGAAAACATGATGGCACCCATAAATATGAAAGAAGAACTCAAGAAGAAAGAAAATATGCTGATATGGTTTGGCTGCATTCCCACTCATCTTGAATTATAACTGTCATAATTCCCATGTGTTGTGGGAGGAACCTGATGGGAGGTGATTGAATTATGGGAGCAGGTCTTTCCTGATCTGTTCTTCTGAGGGTGAATGAATCTCATGAGATCTGAATGGTTTTAGAAACAGGAGTTTCCCTGCACAAGCTCTCTCTTCTCTTGTCTGCTGCCATGTGAGATGTGCCTTTCACCTTTTGCCATGATTGTGAGGCCTCCCCAGCCATGTGGAACTGTAAGTCCAGTAAACCTCTTTCTTTGGTAAATTGCCCAGTCTCAGGTATGTCTTTATTAGCAGTGTGAAAATGGACAAATATAGTAAATTAGTACCAGTAGAGTGGGGTGCTGCTGAAAAGATACCCGAAAATGTGGAAGCGACTTTGGAACTGGGTAACAGGCAGAGGTTGGAACAGTTTGGAGGGCTCAGAAGAAGACAGGAAAATGTGGGAAAGTTTGGAATTGCCCAGGGACTTGTTGAACGGCTTTGACCAAAATGCTGATAATGATGTGGACAATGAAATCCAGGCTGAAGTGGTCTCAGATGGAGATGAGGAACTTGTTGAGAACTGGAGCAATGGTGACTCTTGTGTTTTAGCAAAGAGACTAGCAGCATTTTGCCCCTGCCCTAGAGATTTGTGGAACTTTGAACTTGAGAGAGATAACTTAGGGTATCTGGTGGAAGAAATTTCTAAGCAGCAAAGCATCCAAGAAGTGACTTGGGTGAAGTTAAAGGCATTCAGTTTTATAAGAGAAAGAGAGCATAAAAGTTTGGAAATTTTGCAGCCTGACAACGCAATAGAAAAGAAAATCCCATTTTCTGAGGAGAAAATCAAGATGGCTGCAAAAATTTACATAAATAACATAGAGCCAAATGTTAATCCCCAAGACAATGAGGAAAATGTCACCAGGGGATGTCAGAGGTTTTCACAGCAGCCCCTCTCATCACAGGCCTGGAGACCTAGGAGGAAAAGTGGTTTTGTGGGTCAGGCTGATGGCCTTGTTGCTTTGTGCAGTCTTGGGACTTGGTGCCTTGCATCCCAGCTGCTCCAGCCATGGGTGAAAGGGGCCAACATAGAGCTTGGGCCATAGCTTCAGAGGGTGGAAGCCTCAAGCCTTGGTAGCTTCCATGTGGTGTTGAGCCTGCAGGTGCACAGAAGTCAAGAATTGAGGTTTGGGAACCTCTGCTTAGATTTCAGAGGATATATGAAAATGCCTGGATGGCCAGGCAGAAATTTGCTGCAGGGGTGGGACCCTCATGGATAACCTCTGCTAGGGCAGTGCAGAAGGGAAATGTGGGGTCAAAACCCCTACACAGAGTCCCTACTGGGGCACCACCTAGTGGAGCTGTGAGAAGAGGACCCCAGACCCCAGAACGGTAGGTCCACTGACCGCTGCACTGTGGACCTGGAAAATCACAGACAATGCCAGCCCATTAAAGTAGCAGGAAGGGGGCTATACCCTGCAACGCCATGGGGGTGGAGTTGCTCCAAGACCCTGGGAATCCACCTCTTGCATCAGCATGAGACATGGAGTTAAAAGAGATCATTTTGGAACTTTCAGATTTTTCTGCCCTGCTGGATTTCAGACTTGCTGTAGCCCCTTGTTTTGACCAATTTATCCCATTTGGAACAGCTGTATTTACCCAATGCCTGTACCTACATTGTATCTAGGAAGTAACTACCTTGCTTTTGATTTTACAGGCTCGTAGGTGGAAGACCTGTCTAGTCTCAGATGAGACTTTGCACTGTGGACATTTGAGTTAATGCTGAAATGAGTTAAGATTTTCGGGGACTGATGGGAAGGCATGATTGGTTTTGAAGTGTGAGGACATGAGATTTGGGAGGGGCCAGTGGTGGAATGATATGGTTTGGCTGTGTCCCCACCCAAATTTCATCTTGAATTGTAACTCCCACAATTCCCACATGTCATGAGAGGAACCGGGTGAAAGGTGATTGAATTACTGGGGTGGGTCTTTCCTGTACTGTTCTTGTGATAGCAAATGAGTCTCACAGGATCTGATGGTTTTAAAAACAGGAGTTTCCTTGCACAAGCTCTCTTTTCTCTTGTCTGCTGCCATGTGAGATGTGCTTTTCACCTTCTGCCATGATTGTGAGGCCTTCCCAGCCACGTGGAACTGTAAGTCCAATAAACTTCTTCCTTTTGTAAATTGCCCAGTCTTGGGTATGTGTTTATCAGCAGCATGAAAAGAGAAAAATATAGATGCCTTTAAAAACTGTTTTGATGAATTGTCCATTTGATAGAGAGACTCAAAGACAAGCAAGTTCGGTACTTCTTTAATCATATTTTGATTTTTAATGGAGTATTGGGTAAGAAAGGGTCCAGGGGTGAGTGGAGACCAGGGATATATGTGGGCTTTGTGAGCTCTGGATCTTGTATAATTTAGGGGAGGAATTTCAACAAAAATAATATAAATACAAAATTAGAAATAGAGCCTTGGAATAAGCTCATGCAAATGAAAAATCTTGAGATGATGCTTTATTCACTTTGTTTAAAAAACCTTGTACGGTTGAGATAAATTTTCTCCATTCAGCTGGGAACACTGACACACCATGCTGAGATATTCTGAATGGATAGACTACTGAAGGGTCAGGGAGAGAAATGGAAAGAGGAGGATACAAAGAGGTCAATAAAATGCTGAGGAATTACAGGGAGTTTACCAGGTGGTGTTGTGCAATACTCAGAGAGAAGGTCATGTGTGTACACAATTTTTACACATCAGGGCTATCTTTAAGAAAACACAGAGGTGCCCAGATGGACACATGGACTATCTGTGTGGTTTTCTTGCCCAGAATTTGACAGGAGAGATAAGGATCAACAGCTTCACAGCTGAAGTTACTGTTTGTTCTCTCTTCTGGTTTCTACTAATTTTGTTTTGTTTAATATGCATCTTCAGCATGGGCAACTCAAACAACCAGCACAGTTCATTTGCTATCCATCTCCTTTCTTCTTTTTTTCCCTAACAATATGGATTGATTTTTTTGCTGTCAAAAAAATCAGTTGTCTCAACACAGGAATCAAAATACATAAGACATGTAAAACATTTTAAACTTTGAAAACATTTTAACTATCATCAGATTTTTACAACTATTTTTAGACATCTCAGAATGTAGGGTTAAACTAAACTGATGATGTCTCTTTTAAATTCTGGGGCAATAGAGAAAAAGAAGGCCTGAGATAGTGCCAATTCTCCAGACTGACCAGGGCTGTGGAGAATTCTGATTTTACGGAGTGCAGATGATTTGGATGGTCTTGTTACTAGTCATAAGAATCTTAAACCATTCAGCAGCTGACAGACTGCATTTACATTGGAAAAGAAAAGTTGTCAGAAGCTTTTATGGTGACCACACAATCCAGGAACAAATTTCTCAGTATAGAAAATATGATATCTTTACAGGAAGAATTAATGAAACTCACAAAGGAGTACCTAAACAACAAATATCTAAGCTTTAAAATATTTTACCAGAAAATGAACAACAAAATATACTGCAGATCAAATACAGATGGGCGAGAGAGGAGATTTTAAAAGCACATTGGCAGGGATGTTTGGGAGACATGGTAATAGGTTCTCTCTTTCCTAAAGGGAAGCCAGTGGAGGATGAGAGGGCCAATATCTCTGAATACTGGCACTCAACTCCTCATAATAATCAATAAAAGGAATGTTGGATGCCTAATATCTGGCTCCTGTGAGATTGTCCAATGTGCCTTAGGCCAAGATACTCATGCAGCAGGAAAGGAATAGAAGAGGGGCGGGAATGCCTTTTGTCATCTCTGCCCTAATGCTGGGGAGAAGCAGTGTCTCTCAGCACACCTTCCAGTAAGCCCTCTTTCCATGTAGCCCAAACAGAGGTGAGTTCAACCAGGGCAAGGGCATTTTCCAACATAACAGACACAGGTTGGACAATTTCAGCAGAAGAGGATTGAGCAGCATCCATAATTTTAGTTCACAAGGAGATTCAGTGACTCTGTGTGTACTGGTTTGTACTTTTTGATGCTAAAATAGGAAGTAGTTTGCTTCCTTTCTTCTTTCTGTCTTCCGTTTATTTATTTATTTTTTGGATTCCAGAAAAATTGCTCAATTTATTCACACTGGAGTCATGATTTTATAGAGTTAAGAGGCTTTTTTTTCATCATCATAGAGTAAAATTTACTTTTCTTTTTCCTTTGGTATACAGTTCTATGAATCTTAACATGTAGATTTGTGTTACCATGACCATAATCAGGATACAGATCAGTTTCATCTCCCCCAAAACTCCCTTACATTATCTCTTTATAGCCTCCAATTCTCTGCTCTTCCAGTTTTATATAGGCAGACAGTTTGTCGCAAATTAGAGGAGGTAGTCTGTTTGTCCACTCATTCATTCCTTCTTTATGGACAGTCTTATGGGCATATGGTAGTATTTTTCAAAACATCATAAGACACAATTCCTGTCATTAAGGAAGGTATGGCCTAGTTCAAGGCTAAGATATCTCCGTGGTAGCAATAAATTATCAAATGGCAAGTGAATGAGACTGACAACATAGGAGATCATAAAAGGCTTAGAAAGGCCAGGAAAGGCTTAAAAGGAGAAAAGAAACTTGATTTATAGTCTGAATGGATGGAAGGAGTTTTGAATGTCATGTAGAAGGTAGGAAAAGCCTTTTGGTTAAAGCAAGGACATAGAGGCATGTATGTATATGAACTTGGGAAAACCCATGGAGGAAGGGAAGTGGAACTTTCTTTGAGTGGTAAAGGAGACTAAGTGCAAAAATGGTCACAATACTCTTTCCTTTCCCATATCCATACCCATTTCAACATGACTACAGCTCCTCTCATGAACAGATGGCATCTATTCCCTTACTCCTCAAATCCGGGTTTGCCTACTAATTGCACCGACTGACAGGATGAGGCAGAAGTAATGAACTGCCAGTCTTCAGCCTAGACTTGAGAGTCTTTGAACCCTTTTTCACTATATGGAAAGCTGCCAGGTGAACAAGTCCAGCCAACATGTTGGAGGATAAGAGACCATATGGCAGAGAGCCACATGGTTGTTCTAGCCAATTCCATCCTAGAGCACCGAAGAACCAGCAGTCTCCAAACATGTGAGAGAACCTTGCCAACAGCAGCAGAGATGCCTCACTGACCCACAACTGATATCAGATAGATGAGTGAGCCCTAAGGAAATGAAAAGTATCCAGCTGACCCATCGACTTGTGAGCAATAATAGATGCTCATTGCTTTATGCCACTAAATTTTGGGTGAAGTTTGTTACCTAGCAATAGCTAACTGATACAAGTGTCTAAGACACTAGGGATCTCTATCTTATAAATCATGAAAGAATTATTAGTAGGTATTGTGACCCAACAAAGAAGGTACATTAGGAAGTTTCCCATTGACATTACAGTAGTGGAGATTAGTGATAATTTTAGTCTATCTAAAATTTATTTTTATTTTTATAAAAACAATAAATGCATAGTTTAAAAGGTTAAGTAGTACTATGAGGCTTATCAAGGAAAAATGTAGTCCCAAGCTATACCCTTACTCATGTCCCAGTACTGTTTCTTAGCTTTCTCTTCTGAAATCTATCTTCATATTTGTAACTACTATGTCTATACTCATCTTTATATTTACCTATTTTAGATATAATGTCTTGCCTTCATGTTATTGCAGATGAGAATTTTTCTGTTCTCCCTACTTCTCTTCCATACCTTACACCCTTTTATTACAATTTATCCATGTAATAATTGATATTATCAATTTAATATCACTATGTTTGTTAAATAAATATTTTACATTTGTATTATAATGTCTATGTAAATGTTCCTCACTATTAGGCAGGTAGAGTACTAAAATAGTTTCTTTTTATACAAATTTTGTTTTTCTTTATTATTACTTCATTCTTTTATCTGCTTAGCTTACTATGTACCAGTATAAAATAGATGCACAATTTTCTCCAAATATAATGATAGATATGAAAAAAACCACTTCATTTTCATTCCATTTTTCACATAGCCAGATGCATCAGTTTGTTTGTTTGTTTACGCAGGTCTCCATCCAGAAGTTCTTTTGTTCTAATCTTGACTGGTTTTCTTTAAAAAAAAAAAAGATAAAATGTGTTACATAAGTGCCATAACAGTGAAATCTGCTTATATTTAAAAAAAAAATAAGTGAAGACATTATTTCCTCACAAGAGCAATACATATCCTTAGTAAACAACTACCATATTTACAAGTTAATTTCTTTGATACTTAGGCAGGGTTGAAAGCCAGGAGAAATCATGAAAGAGTGAGCTTTGAAATAATCTTTACAGCTAAGTTGATAACAGGGAAGGTAGCCAGACAATTCCTGAAGCAGACTTGTTTATTTTGTAGAGTATTTGACTATGTCTGGGTAGCTAGCTTGCTTTTATGAAGACCAGGGACAAGTTCAATCCCTGTTTTGGCCTGTTAAAGCTTTTCCCAGAAGAATAAATATCTGCTCCATAGTCATTCTAATCCTAACCCCAACTAGCCTCAAAAAAGAAATTAGGCAAGACGGACTGGGGTTATCATGAAGTTACTCTTACTACTACGAAACTAACATAAAGTGCATGTCCATAGATAGCGAGGCAGCAGTCTCATTTTCACATATGGGCAGCACAATTAAAATGTGAATTTCAAATAACCCAACATGACTCACTTTCAAAAAAAGATAAAAATCCCTTAATCTTCAACTGGTCTTTAAATTTGAGATGTTAGGTCTGTGTTAGAGATAGTAACGAAATATTACGAAGTGTGCACTGGTACCTTAAATGCCAAATCTCAAAAACAACACAAATTCGAGACTTTCCTATTAACACACACGTGTACCAATTGCATTTCACATGCTGAAAGTGGTTTTATAGTCTATTTCCTCCATCTTTTCATTTTTGAGGAGCACACTTGTAAAAACACCAATTTAACTTGTGCTAAGTGGTAGGGGTTTGTTTTTTTAAAACCAAAATTCTGCCAAACTTGTCGATCTTCTGCTTCATCTACTCAGGTAGAATACCAGATCAAGCTGCTGTGGCTGCGCTCACCATATGAAACCAGTTTGTGTCTGCATTATTACTGTCTTTAGGAAAACTTTAAATTCTTCAGAGCAGTTTTCTTTACTCCTCCCATCTTTCACTTCCTGCCTAAATCCAAGTTAAATTATACAATTTCCACTGGTCTTCAACACAGTTTGATTCTGCACTGTCCTTTCCTTTGCACGTCACAGTAGTTGTTCACATATATTAAATATTATAGATATGTTCTGCTCTTGACATCTATACACTTACAAAAGCAGCTCTGTACTTTGGTGTGTTTGTTACTACGGTGGCTCACAAAAAGCAGTTTTCTCAGTTCTAAGCATGGTACTTTACAATTTTTAATGCATTCATACAACAGTGCATTGGAAAAGTACTGGGCCTCTACAAAATAGCTTTACATTTTTAAACAAATGAATGTGATTTTTTTTCACTTACACAAGCATAGGCATTTTAATATTTCCACAAGATAAATATCTCAAACTATAAGCTCACTCTACAGTGTACCACAGTGATGGACTTAGGAGACAGTTATACACTTAGAAGATACACTAAGTGTTATTTACACTGACATGTCCAGTATCACCAACTCTGGAAGGCAAACAAACAATATTCAGAATGTGGCTTAATTTGTGTCAACTAATAACTGGGAATGGTATAGCTTTAATCACTTAAGAAACACATACTGTAATTAGTCTAAACTGGTAATTTCCTTCGCCCCTCTCTCTTACGGCATGGGAAAATTTAAAGATCAACATGAAACGGAGCCATTGCTAAGGCAGATCTTTTAAGATAACAGGAAAAATTGACAAGTGTATATGATAAATTATCAGTAACAGTGATGCTACCAATTTAACTGTTATAGAAATCAGATTTTTATGTCATAAAATGTGGCTTTTAAAATATTTCCTTTTATTCTGGAACAAAAACTGGAGAAAGGACGATGATTCCTTCAGAAAGCAATGACTCAATTCAGGTTGTTACTTTACATTTAAGTACCACTCAAAAAGTGGACATAAAAGCAAGTGATTCCTGTTTGCCCATCACTATATCAGCTACATAGCTGAGAGTTCAGATCTTAATTACACAACACTTCCTCTGTTACCAGAAGCTAAGACTGCTCTGTGACAATAGGACAGGTAGAATTCTCAGATAACCAGCGACTGATGCAGTGGATATGGTACTCATGGGAACAAGGTAGTTTACGGAGTTTGTTGCCTTCTCTATATTCTGTAATGCAAACACTACAGGTTTTTAATGCATCACTTTCACCAAAACTTGTCATTGCCACGTTGTCAATCTGTTCTTTGATGAGTCCTCTAGGTTGGTCATCATCATCCTCATTTAAGAGGAAAAACTGAGCCAGGCTAAGGAAGTGCAAAGAGCCACTGTCATCAAATATGACTGGGGTCCTATGTCGACCCTCCCTCCTGGCACCTGATGAGCCTGATGATGAGCTTCCTTCATTACTGCCTTCAGATAAATCTGAGCTAGTTTCTGAACTTTCACCACCAGAACTGGAACTAGGGCAAACTGGAACTTGAACTGGAACTTGAGCTGGAACTCGAACTGGAACCAGAACTACTACCACCACCAGAACCCCTCTTCCACTCCGTGACTCTGCCCTTTCCATATTTTGATTTGGGACTGAGCCAGTAGACTCTGAGTCGCTATCACTGTACATAAAAGAGCTTAACCAAAACCTGTTATTATCTGCCTTAACATGGTCTGAATTACAACAGATGTAGTCTCACTTAGACCAGTATTTAAGATTCTACGAAAGGGAATTCTGATGGTACTGACATAGGTTCTCACACCTCCCTGCTCAGAACGTGAAAATGTACACCTAAAACCTCCTCGTTCACTTTCGTAGGTGACTGTATTGTTTGGCGTCTGAGACCTAGACCACGTTTCGCTGACTATGCTCTCTCTCTGCTGATATTCTCCAGGACGAACTCTTCTTACTTGAAGATCAAGGACTACGGTTGGTCTCTATCCTGATCCTGTAGATTCACCATTGGCAGCTGTGTCTGAAGAACCTGCTCCTTGAGAGGCATTTCTTGTTCCAGAAGCTGCAAAAATACCTCTACTTAGCAACTCAGGCCCAGATATTTGCTCTCTCAATGTCACACGGGGCCGGGTTCTAGAACTTCCCTCCGTCTCATTTACCAAAGATGTTCAAAAATCTGAGATGAGATATGATGATGAGATCTTCGTGGAATTTCACTCATTGGATGCAGAGGTGACCTCCTTCTCCCAGCTCTTGTTCTGGTTCTCCGATAGTCTAGCCTCCTGCTTCCTGCCCTCCTCTGACCTCTGGTAAGTGGAACTTCTGTTAATGCTTCAGCTGAATTTCGTTCTGATCTAGATGGCCTTGCAGATACTATTCAGGTCGTGGGTTTTCCACTTGCCTTTGGCTGTTGTTTTCCACATTTTCTCCACTAGAACGTCTTGCAGATGGCTCATTTTCATTCTCTGAATTTTGGCCCCCATTATTACTGTTAACATTTATCTCTAAACTGAATCTGCAATCACCACTGTTTGGATTAGTCCGGCTCACTGCTCTCCAAGATTGGTTTCCTCTTTTTCCACTTCTTGTTGTATTTTCCGTTTGTCTGACAGAGTTAAGCCAGTCTGTTGTAGAGTCACCATTAGACACATCATCTGAAGAGTCTCCTCCTCTATTTTCACCTGAGTTTTGCGGTGGTGGGCTTTCTTTAATTTGCTGTAGTCTTCTCAGCAACTGTTCCTCAGTACTTTCACCTGGGGTGCCTAGCAAACTGTTCTCTCTCCTAAGCCTATAATCTTCTTCACTCAGGTTATTTACAAATTGGTAGAAAGCTTCTTCCCGATCCAATCGGTCCATCTGAATTCTGCGCTGTGCTGCAGACTGATCACCACTTCCTTTGTCGTTGGAATCTGAGTTTTCCATATTGATGAACAAGTGGAAAATTACTAGGTTTTAGGATCAGCGTCCAACTTTTGGTTCGGCTGCCGCCGCCGAGGCTGCTCCGCAGCCCCCTGGCCGCAGCTCTCAAGCGGCCTCCAATGGGCTGGTTGAGACCCACCTCTAGCCCAGCGCCTGCCAGACGTTGCTCTGGCAGCCATTATCTTCCCCATTGTTACCAAGCAGCCACAGGAAAACTCTTGACTGGTTTTCTTTAGGCATTTCCCATGAATAGGCATTTTCTATGTCTCCGAGTATTTTCTCCAGGATTTCCTGTGCTGGGGCCATTCTCACATCTTCCTCTCTCTTGGTATAACCCCTTATTGTGATGAAGAATATTCTCCAGTATTAAGTGGCTAAAATACGTTTATTCTATAGTATCTACTTCAAGCTTAATGGCATAGTCATGAATAGAAGATAACCTTCCCTCAGAATTTCTAATGCATTGCTTCACTGTTTTCTGGCTTTTAAAGTTTCGTGCCTTTCTTATTCACAATCTTTGGCTGTTGCCTGTTTTGGTTGTTGCTATTGTCCATTTGTTTAATTTATTTTTGAAATTTAAGCATTGAAAATTTCACTATGTTCCTTCATGGATTGTTTTACCCATTTTCATTCAAAATTGTAGGTAACACGATAGACTCTTTCATTCTGGAAATTTGTGTCTATGGATTAAAAATAAAAATTTGACCTGGTGTAGTGGCTCACATCTGTAATCCCGGCACTTCAAGAGGCTAAGGCAGGAGGATCGCTTGAGCCCAGGAGTTCAAGACCAGCCTGGGCAACATAATAAGACTCTGTCTCTATGAAAAATAAAAAGAAACATAGCTGGGTATGAGCTGGGAACTTGGAGGCTGAGACAGGAAGATCACTTGAGCCCAGAAGTTCGAGGCTGCAGTGAGTTGTGACTGTACCACTGCACTCTAGCTTGGGTGACAGAATGAGGCCATGTGTCTAAAAAAATAAAATAAAATATAAAAATTATACATTGTCATTTTCTCTTTCTGAAATTCCTATTAGTCTTTACGTTGGGCCTCCCAGGTGATTCTTTAATTTTTAAAAAACTTTTTCTTTTCTCTTTCCTACCTCAGCTTTTT